TGCCACGGTAACCAGGCTTATGCTACAATGGTTTTTGCATGACATTCTTGAGCCCTTTTTGAAGACTGGGGTGACGTTCCAGGTGCTCTATTCGACTAGCGTTCTGTCTCCATTCCAAGTCTTTTGCATTATGGTTGTCAGACTTTAACAGGACCTCAACATCTCCTTTGAAGAGTGCTTGATACAGACCATCCGAACCAGGTATCCTGTCGCGTTGAAGGATTCATATCTCACACTGAGTTTCTGTTATTGACGATTGGTTGGTGATGATGTTAAAATCCAGGCTCGCCGGCTTCACCCGGCTGATCGATCGAATAAGCTGAAATCGAGCGCAACCGTTTTCTCCATCTCCTGGGCGTTCGCAATCGATCAGCGTTCTCCACCATTTTTCAAACTCCTGATTATAGGGTGTTTGAGGGATCTGCCTGGCCATCATAGTCACTAGTTGCTGACTTTTCTTGCAGCAATACGTTTCGCAAAGGAGTGAGATAGCATAGGGTTTTGCTCGGGACTCTTCCCCTAGTCTGTAGCTCCAAAGTGTGAACAGCGACGCAGTACTTGTTAGGTTTTTTTTGAGGTACCCTTCGCGGAGCCAGTGACTCAATTACATGACCTACTTGGTTGCAAGGGGCTGGACTGTTCCGAGGGCATACGGAGTAAGATTGGTACTTTCTGAGCAGCATAAGACACTCAAACTTGAAAAAAATACTTCGACCTTATTCAGTAATGCGCCGGTGGTCACAGTTGTCTCGCACTGAAACTGCCGAATGACTAAGTCTGGGAGAAAATCCCAACACTTGAAAGCACTGATGAGAAAACGTGATGTTCGCGGATGTGGTTCAGCCTGGACGCTCAAAAGGAAATCGAATGGCACTGGCATAAAAAACAAAAAGTCTGGGAGAAAATCCCAACACTTGAAAGCACTGATGAGAAAACGTGATGTTCGCGGATGTGGTTCAGCCTGGACGCTCAAAAGGAAATCGAATGGCACTGGCATAGCTAAAAAAACAAAATTTCCGGGATGAAGGACTCACCACGTGACTCAGAGGAGTTCGAGAAGTAATTGGTGGAGGGAAAAAGATGGATTGCTGAATGGATAAGGCAAGGCTCGGACCACACATGGGAGCTACAAATCGGCTGACTGTACGCGTGTTGTGTTCCAGAAACAAACACAAAAGAAACCAACCAGATAGGAAACAGATGACAGTTCCGTACATGAGGACGCGGAATAAGTACCTCCTTACAGCTGCCTTTCGTAGTTCTTTCAGCGAGACAAAGCGTCCTAACATCTCATAGGCCACAATCGTGGTTATCATACAACAATATTTACTGACTGGGTAAGCCAGTTCGTAGTCCGGACCACATCGGGATCGCACGAAGGTAACCGAATCTTACCTGCGATCAGGAGCTTATAGAAAAGAATTGACAGGTCGCTGAAAATCGACCGTCTCCTCAAACTTAGGCCAGCTAGTGTTCGGTACAGTTGCCACCCCAAACCATCGGCCAAATGGACAGCATGGCGCCTCGGTAACCAACACACGCACAAGCCTCTTCGACAGGGCCCGTCCTTGGCCGTCCATGAACCACATTCACTAGGCCGTAGTAGAGTATGGCATCCCAACAAAGTGTGTTGATTTCTCATGGGCTTGCGCAGACAATCGTATCAATTCAGCAACCCGATGATCGGTCGAAGGAAAAAGACCATGTTCACTACGGTCATCAGCACCGACAGCATTACACCAGTGCTCAACACTGATGCTTCAATGACGTACAATTATGATTTATTTGAGTCTTATTGTAAAGAAAAGAATGAAAGTAGATGGGGGAAGGACTTGGTGCTAGTCTACCACAAAATCATTCCAAAGTTCCTACACCCTCAGTCAGGCAATCTGGATGGAAACTGACAACAAGAACGCTACTAACATCGACTAGCAGACATATCTTGCAGCTCTTCCAACTGCGCGCAGTGGGGATTGCACGATCCTCATCATGGAAGGAAATTCGTAATCTTTTTCAAATGCCAAGTTGGTCACCTCCCTAATTCCCCCACTCTGAATTGGCACGGAAAACACCACTCCTCGGCAAACGATGGTTCGAACTGCGTAATACGTGACCTAATCACCACAGCTTTTGGTGCTGGGTGGACTCTACCATTAACTCCCCTGTTGCATAGCCAGGCACTATTTTCACTAGTTTCATTGCGGAGTCTTCAAGAGCTTCCTTTGTGAGACAACGATTGTCGATCTGAATACGTCTCAGTTCTACTGTTCTCAGAGTCCATATCTCAGACATAAAACGAAAAAGACCGCACTGTTGCCTGATGAACAAATCCCTTGAGATTCAGGAATATGCCACTTTGACATCATGGATGCCTCAAATTTGCAAACGCAACCCGAGTGATTCGTGCCATGACCTCATCTGTCACACCACAATTGAAACTAATGCAACTCCCAAGATTCGTAAGACATTCCGAAACTTTGAGTGCCTCTTCTCCAAGGATTTTAAGTGGTGTGTTCAGTGAGTCCATGTCTAGGTACGGAATGATTTTGGTCAGCCCATCCGAAAAACACCTACGCCTTCTGCTCCTCTTCGAAGGCGAGAACGATATCGTCCGAATGTTCCAGATCGACAAGGCTTCCGTACAGGCTATTTGAACACCAGGGTTTTGAAGACGTTTCACCGTTCGTCTCGTCTATTACGAAATTAAATAGGAACGGAGAGAATGGTGACCCCTGACTGACAATACTTCACCTACTAGCAGTTCCAGCGGACCAGTCGCGCGCATCAACTGAAATAATCTTCGGGCATTCCCGGCTTTCTGGGTCTCTTCCATTTTCTTAGCTTTTCATGTCCACCAGGCTTCACGGTCAGCGCCCAGGCTCACCTTCGTTTGACGCCTGATAATCCATTGGGCAAAATTATGTTCAGCACACAGCTAAAGCAATTGTTCGTTATTGTCCGTAGGTACTGAGTGCACTCCATGTCGACTACCCAATTGAGTCCAATCTGGATGGAAACTGACAACAAGAACGCTACTAACATCGACTAGCAGACATATCTTGCAGCTCTTCCAACTGCGCGCAGTGGGGATTGCACGATCCTCATCATGGAAGGAAATTCGTAATCTTTTTCAAATGCCAAGTTGGTCACCTCCCTAATTCCCCCACTCTGAATTGGCACGGAAAACACCACTCCTCGGCAAACGATGGTTCGAACTGCGTAATACGTGACCTAATCACCACAGCTTTTGGTGCTGGGTGGACTCTACCATTAACTCCCCTGTTGCATAGCCAGGCACTATTTTCACTAGTTTCATTGCGGAGTCTTCAAGAGCTTCCTTTGTGAGACAACGATTGTCGATCTGAATACGTCTCAGTTCTACTGTTCTCAGATCCATATCTCGAGCTTCCTTTGTGAGACAACGATTGTCGATCTGAATACGTCTCAGTTCTACTGTTCTCAGAGTCCATATCTCAGACATAAAACGAAAAAGACCGCACTGTTGCCTGATGAACAAATCCCTTGAGATTCAGGAATATGCCACTTTGACATCATGGATGCCTCAAATTTGCAAACGCAACCCGAGTGATTCGTGCCATGACCTCATCTGTCACACCACAATTGAAACTAATGCAACTCCCAAGATTCGTAAGACATTCCGAAACTTTGAGTGCCTCTTCTCCAAGGATTTTAAGTGGTGTGTTCAGTGAGTCCATGTCTAGGTACGGAATGATTTTGGTCAGCCCATCCGAAAAACACCTACGCCTTCTGCTCCTCTTCGAAGGCGAGAACGATATCGTCCGAATGTTCCAGATCGACAAGGCTTCCGTACAGGCTATTTGAACACCAGGGTTTTGAAGACGTTTCACCGTTCGTCTAGTCTATCACGAAATTAAATAGGAACAGAGAGAATGGTGACCCCTGACTGACAATACTTCACCTACTAGCAGTTCCAGCGGACCAGTCGCGCGCATCAACTGAAATAATCTTCGGGCATTCCCGGCTTTCTGGGTCTCTTCCATTTTCTTAGCTTTTCATGTCCACCAGGCTTCACGGTTAGCGCCCAGGCTCACCTTTGTTTGACGCCTGATAATTCATTGGGCAAAATTATGTTCAGCACACAGCTAAAGCAATTGTTCGTTATTGTCCGTAGGTACTGAGTGCACTCCATGTCGACTACCCAATTGAGTCTCAGATGCTCCAAGCCTGCCCACTTGTGCATTCAGATCTACGGTGACCGCAACGACATTTGAGCTTTTAGCTGGCCGCAAAAGGATATTCAAAGCGTCACAAAATTTCTTTGGTGGTGTAAGAGCCACAGGTGGTTGGGGCGTGAGTAGATAAAGGAACAGCGACCAAATTTCCGCTTGTGAGACTCCTTCATGGACGTTGCCAGATGAACCACAAAGGGGCTACTATCAATGGGTATACAATCAAGCAAGAATAATTCTTCTCGGTGACGATGCCGATCCATGTATATCCTGCCACAGCGGCCTGTGAATCGCCAAAAGAGTGTAGACGGAAACTCATGGAAAGTGGTGGGGCAGTTACCTCAGACACTGTGCTCACATCTTGAATTCTTGTTTCTGATGAACCCATGAATGTCAAGCAAGTCCATTGTGAGGGTCAAAGCAGCTTGTTTCAGAATACGGATAAAAAAAGCAGCCAGATAAACTGGGCATCGATGCTTAAAGATTGGTTTTGAAATGCATGAGGCTGTCAGTGCTGGCTGACGCGTAGATGTCGCTGCCAAACCCGATTTAAGACAGACGGAGTCGTCAATCCTAACAGAAGAACCCAAAAGGACAGCATTAATAATGGCGTGGGGGAGGCAGGGAAAGCAAGTGAGAAAGAATGAAGGTCACAGCAGTAGGTTGGTTCCGCTTATCCACTATGCTGTACGCAGCAAGTAAAGCGACCCGGCTGATGGCATCACGTGACGGCCGATGTGGCATGAGGTTCATTGCAAGTGTTGGATTCATGGTAGTACTTGGGCTGGGCTACAGCCGTAGACACATGTAGACAGGAGAACGATTAGGGTCCTCGATCAAAGCCTTTGGCTCAAAAGCCTGACTGCACTTCAGCGATTTGGCGGTAAGTGTAGGTGTGTTCGTATTTTTTAAAAGAGCACATCGCCTAGCAACCTCGTTCCAACCCCCAACCTGGAGGACTACACTGCTACAATGCGTATTCAGCAACTGTTTGAGCTTAGGTAGGCTTGTTCGAATTTTGAAGGGACTCAGCCACAGGGGACGAAAAATAATTGGTGCCGTAACAGCCTTAGGCGCACTATTTCAGGTGACCAAAGCGATCATGGGTAGCCTAGACATGCAAACATAGTTGTCCAGACCATCTGGTGGTTGATGGATTTGTAGACTTCGCGTTCACATCAGTCTGATTTCAAGTGAGGCCGACAACGGTTGTTTTGTGCTCCTTTTACATTCTGCTTAAAAAATAGTTGAAGCAGTTAGCATGCGTGAGAAACGAATTTTGAAGTAAGTTGTTAGGAAACTGCTTCAGCAGGCCGCCGGACCTCATCAAGAGCTAGTCAAGCGTTCAAAAAATCCCTATGCAGCTGCGAAGAACCAAGGTGAATGTCTGGAGCTGTAAACCAGTGATCTGTCTAATTGATTGGCAGAACTAAGCAATCCACCGCAGGTGCACGAAGTAATACGTTTTCAGTGGTGAGATATCTTTGTAGAGTAATTTCTCCCAAAAAACATGCAAGACAGGATGAAAAATACTTTCAAACTCCCTGAACAGCCGCATCACGCCCGGAGAGGATAGGCCACTGTTCAGCTACCACGAGCATCGATGCTGAACTGTGCAGCAACACCGGGGAGTTCTATCCAGCACCTTGATCGAGGCCACGTCTACGATAGCTGTCACCCGGTTTAGATATGGACTGGTGTGGGAACGTACAATATATCAAAGTGTACCGAAATTTAATTGTTGGCTAAATGTTTTGAACATTAGAATGAATTTCCCTTAGACATCTGTTTATCATCGCCATTCCGATTCGAATCCCGCTGACGAACTAGTGGCCCCGTGCGCTAAGAATCACCACCATCATCATCATCATTGACAGCAAGAAACTGGACATTTAGATCAACAAGAAGCACGCCCTCTAGTTGGCTTGTTATTGGGGGTCGGGAGAAGGGCGGAAGATGGTTGGGTCAATACCAATGTTTACTTTTCATTCGATTCACTCAAAGACCATGGTTGTATCATATTTAGCTAGTGAGGATCCAACAGCAGACTTTCCTATCCATATCCGAAGAATGTCTGAACTGGTTAAGGTCTGAAGAATTACGATCTCAATGCTTCACCCTGCTGCAGCTTAGACTAGAACTCTGTCGGCAACTCTGTGTTGCACACTGTGTGTCACTTGGCACCATTTTTTGCAGGTATTAAAGCTTGTTTCGGACAGCAAGCATTTGTTGGGTGACAGAGTTATTATTCTGGCTGAAACAGCTTAGTGATCGTTTGTGAAACTGGTAGTGAAAATGCGGAGTGAACTTCCATAATGAGTTCTACCATGAAGACAGGCAATTATCCTTGATTTGGATTGGGTGTACCTTAAATGGGGGCGCGGCGCATTCGTAATTTGACTGCACTCCTTCAAGATTCGATTTAAAAATGTCAACAATCTGTATCTACAGCGAATGAACGTGCGATACCGAGGTCAGAAACTAGCCAGCCGGGGTCCTGTCGTTGGTGAGCAAATATGTTCCGGCCGTTAAAAAGATATACACCCGGCGTTGATACGATTTGCGACTGTTGGTGGTGGCTCTAATCGTACAGGACCACTCTGACCGAACCGCATAAGACATAGAAGACAACATGACTCGGTCCTCTGGACGATCTACACAGCATCTGTTCATTTGAAGGTTTCGCCCACTATCCGAGCCACGCTTCTTTCGACAGCTAATCACGTCTGAGTGAAGAATATAGGATAAATTCTGTGGCTCTCGAATTTTATCAAAAAGGCTCCGGATCATATTGCATTACTGACCAGAATGTAGTTTCTATCCTTCGTAGCACGTGGGTTAGATTTTTTCTCCGTGCGTGACTGGTATCGACTTCATCGGCCAGCAGAAAAAGTGCTGAACAGTTCTGGTTTCATCCTATGTCGCGTGAAGCACCACCACCGATACAAGAAGCAACTTATATTCAAATGGAGAGTGAAATTTTCACTTAAATCACACCGGGTATTTGTGGCGTCCAACGCGAACCGAATTAGAGATACCCACGCTTAAACGAAACTAAGGGAATCGCATTGTGACAAAAAGATTCGTTGATTGGGAACGTACCAAATGTCAACCAAAAGTGCCGAGTGTCAGCTCCAAAAATTTCACATCTCGCTAAGACAATAAGTTGTAAAGGATGCGGCTGGATTTTATTTGCGATGTACATGTGGCTGTTTTTCTGGAGCAAAATGAATGCGACGGGAACGGACTCGCAGACTAGGTACGAGGGTGGGGAGTAACTCCCCAGATATTTAAAAGTATAGGGAAAAAGCATGTCGCGGCAGATCATAAGTGATCTAGTTTTTGGAACAAGAATGCTATTGCCGTGAATATCCAGATATCTAGCACCCAAATGTTGTTCAACGGACCACACGCATCCTTGGCCCGTGTCGGTAACAAGTCAGGAACCCTTACTGCTCATGAGTAGTCAGTAGTTATCCATAACTAATGCCTCATCCCCATGGTAGGATAGGACGAAACGCAAAATGGCTGCCACCTCATAGCGAAATTGCACAACGAGCAAGCCATCCGTGCAAAGAAACGGCCCACACGTTGGGCACAGCGCGAACAGCCGGGGCAGGCTGCATAGGGTTTAATAGTTAGACAAGACCCCATACAGTTAGTACGCAAGATCAATCACAATATTATGAGCTTGAGGTGTCACGCATCTGTACGCTAAGAATATTGAAGGGTTCGATTTGCCAACGTGATTCTGGCGTTCGCCTTCTAAGCCTAATCGATGTTCCTGCACTGTGCAATATCGCCGGGTTGCTCCAAGACGTGGCACAGTGACCTAGCGGCCTGTCTTACCACTTATTACAACGATTGGACAGAAGACGTGAGAGAAAGATACGCCTTGTGCGTTCGCATGAAGGCATGGCTGTTGTCCTGTTGACCTCACTCACTTTCATGCAGCCACACCGCTTGCCGTTACCGTGATCCACACACTGCAACGGCTGGACGCTTGGCCTACAGCTAACCAATGAAAACGTGCGAGCGACAGACGGCATAGTAGTGGTCAAGACAGCCTTAAGGCCGATTGGACAGAAAACCCGGGCACGTGCTACCTCGCCATCCGCCCACGGAGTTGTCATGGTAACAGGAGGCCGACATGCTCGCTTAGAAAGCATGGTGAATCGGAGGTCTAACGCGAACACGAGATCAACTAGCGGTGCCAATACTGCCGAAAAATGGCCAACCACGTGCGGCAGCGACACCAAGCTGGCTTGCTTCTGTATGCTCAAGTGAACAAATGATGGTTTGGAGACAGGCCGACTCCACACAGCGATCCCAAGACGTGCATCGCATGTTGGTGACAGTTAGAGCCATTCAGTGTGCCGAAGCATTTATGCGATGATGCTGCGACATAGCCCACCGTCATATGACAGTGTAATGGGTCGCTTAAGTTTTAGTCCCGAAGGTGTCAGGATCGGAGTGCGCGCTTCGTTCGGTTCTAGAGACTGACGCGGCAAATGTTGCCTGTCCGCCGAGCAAAAGGAAGACTGGGTGAAGTTGTAAAGAAATCCTGCTTCAGATTCAACAATATGGTAAAGGTTAGTGACTGCTGGATGTATCTCAGGCTTGCCGTTCCGAACGAAAGAGGACGAAACGTTTCCGTTATCAAAAATTGTACCACCGTAAAATCGTGACCGAGCTGCTTGCAACCAAACAAAAACTTGGAGCACCATGCAACTGACACATTCAGGTCTAGGTTGCCACCGCTACAAACGGTCTGTGCGGAGGAAATGATACTCCCTCTCCGATTACAAATAAAGAAAGTCGCTAGTTATTAGAGTGAGGATAGTTTGCCACAAAAAGTCATTGAGGCGATGGTGTCAGATTCATTCAAAAAGGGGCCAGACAGACATAATCGCTAGTTTGTTAGGTTGGGAACAGTTGTGCGACCATTCCCAATACGCATTCCCTACGTTTTTTGGGTCGCAAGACTTTTCTACACATAAAAGGAATCTTGTTGTATAAGGAGGTGAGCAGCTGAAGAATCCCGATTTGTACCTGCCATAGCCCATGGTGAATGGACACCGTACCCCTAACTGACTGACCAGCTTTGTCGCGAAAATTTCACTCATTACAAAAGTTATCCGAAACCAGGATCCTAATACGGCTGTGAATGCAGCAACTTGGATAGGAGATGGATTCAGCGTTTGAAATGGTCGACATGGCAGGTTAAACTGGAACTTGTAACTCCTTGACAAAACACTAACATAGTTGTACTTCTGAAGCGGATGGCAGACTTTAACAAACCAAACCAAACGGACCAACGCTAAACCTCAGCTGAAAACCCGTATGCAACTACGGTTCGACCGCTGAAAAACGTGTTGCGTCAGTGAATTGACGTCCTGAACGAGTGAAACCCATTTAGGAGTTTTCAAGCGTCAGCGAAAACTTGGAAATGGAGACGGTTAAGCTCTTCCATACGAACCCATGCACACACATGCGCGTCCAAATCGCAGGCTGCGCGGGTTGCACCGCTCATGAAGGAAGAATAATACAGTAATCAGATAGAAAAATGTATTTAATTGTGGATCTTATTTTTTGTGCTTATCTAAAAATACAAATTTGTTTCAAATGAAAAGGAAAGTAAAGGATTGTAATCCGATTGAAACGGTCAATCCCAGTATAAATGTCTTGCTCGGAAGAAGAAACGGGGAATGAGGAGAATGCAGCTAGTGAGATGTGAAAAAAGGACAAACAGCGAGAATGGGAAATCAGAGTTGAAAGAGAGGTGCGAACGAGAGAGCGCCTGTCGGTATCACCAAACACCAGTCTCTGCTGAGACAATAAAAAGCGCGGTTATCACATTCCAAGATAGCATCATAAATTGAACCAACACCTTGATGGGTAGTTTTAGGTGAAAAAGACACTCGAAGATCTGAAGTACTTCATCACATAGTTGTGTGAAGTATAGGCTGAGAAATAAAGACTTCAGACACCTGAGTCACAAGGACGCTGAAATAGTAACGAAACGGTGGAAAGATCAGAAGACGAACATCAGGGACAGGCTAACAAGGCTGGAATGATAAAGCAAAGAAGAAACGAGAACACAGTCGCTTTGAATTTGTCTATGAAACGGGCTGCAAAATAAGGAATCCGTCTGGTTGTTGAAGAAAAATGAACAAGAGACGAGTATGAGGAGGGATCGAACACTTGTTCCGCAGACTGGTGGTGATGATGGTAAAGCGGTTCGCACACCAATAAGTGCGTGCATTGTAACGTGAAAGACCGTACAAGGCTCGAAGGCAGAAAATATTAGGTACAAAAAACAGCCAAGAGTAGATCACGGCCAAAAGTAACAATAGTAGGGTTGGTAGTATTAGCAGAAAAACGAAACCATCATTGGGAGATCTTAGTCAGGAGAGAGAAGACGGTTAATTTCGGTGTTCACGAGCAATCAACTGAGACGACGGTGTTGCATGATTAGTGGCCACTAGAAAAACCGAAAATGAGGAGAACAGCAATAATCACATGAGCAGTGGAGGAATGAACGTGTGTACAAAAGGCAGTGTTAAATGGGGGAACCTGCGGAACAAGATCGACGTCTGTGATGCAGTAAAGGTTGGAGGAGAATCTGGGAAGACGTGAGCAGGACAGGCAACACGTGAGAAAAATGAGGCAAGTTGAGCGGTGATCTTCACACAGAGTCAACGAAAACCACGGAGGCACTTAGATACAAGGGCGATTGTCGGATCCACGGAGGAATGGTGAGGCGGTCTTGGAAGGCTCGATAGCAAAATAGAGATTCGGTACAGTTACCGTATGCCGACTCCGAGAATCCGCATAGCATTTGAGTCGAAAGGAATCCTCAATCCTGTAAGATCGGACAAAATACACGACACTGCATGCAGTAATTTCTCATACCATCTGAAAGTGGCAATAGAACACCATTGCATAAAATAATGTTTCGTGTGGAATTAACTTACTCGAGCATGTCATGTGTGGGCGTGAGAATATACCCATATTTACAGTAAGTTATGATCCCCGGGTGATGGTTGAAAAACACGGGACCAGATGAAAGTACCAGCTGAATTAAGAGGCTACTAAAGATATCAGTCTGGATTTGGAGCAACTAACCTAATGGTCAACTAAAGTATTGTTTTAGCCTTGTTGCGACAGTACATTGTGCATATATTTGTACCTCTAGGTGACACAAGTCGAAAGCAGATCAGTTATTCAGCCAGGTATTATGCATCGGGCGTCTGTCCTAGCTCCTACCGATTCGTTTGCCAAGAAGAATGGAGTAACCACAGATTGGAAGTGATGGCTTAGCGATTTCATTGATGTGGAAGTGCTACAGTTTGTTGATTAAACGGGAATCGGGACAGCTACTCGGTGAGCCTCCTGTGAGCACGTTGATTATAGGAAACCGCATGGTATTACTCGAAGGTATTGCACACTTATAGGTCCGGTCCGAAATGAAGCCATATCCACTAATTCATAAAATCCTTGTTTTTTCGCCACTATGCGGATGCATAAGAATGCGACAACAGTTATCAAATGAGTGTACTATTAATGTTCTTCGTCCAGTTGTAGCCACACCATTTGGTGTTGACTGGCACCCTATCCAAATTGAGCTGCATCCACTAACACCACCAATTTGAAACATCTTACTTAAACCTTCCAAAGCCTTGGGTATTTTAAAACGGTAATGAGTATTGTCACCTTCTTACACAAAACATTTCTCCGAGCATTAGAGTTTTTACTCTAATACCCTCTGATAGACTTGCTCCGTGGGACGCATCGCACCTAACGGTAGCCAATGTCTGCACTTGTCCAACTTCTTACCGTACTTTGCAAAGATGCACAACCCTGACTTAGGAGAGTAACTGCTTGGAGTTACGTGGATGCCAGAGTCAACATTGACGAAACGAAGTGAGGTTCGTTTAACCTCAATCTGATGTTCACTTACCGTGTCTTGGATAAGTCAAATTCAGCCTCTTTGCATGCAGCATGACAAATGAAGTGAAGGTAGCAGGTAAAATTCGGTAGTTTAGTCCCCGTCACTGGAACATTCTGGTAGCACAAAGTATTCATACCGCAGAAATACCTCAATAGCCAAAGTCATCTCCATAAGGATTACGTCGATTGAATTTTCCTATGCACCGGAGGTGATTTTGTCTTCAGACAGTCCACCCGGACACACACATCTAGTTGTGTCAGAGCATTTAACATTGGACAGGTGAAGGGCGCAATAGAATCTCCAGTACTAGTATTACTTGAAGAAAGTGAATCTTCAGAGGGAAAGAATCCATACATATGGTGGGCCTAAAGACTGTCGGAGCCTTCTTACATACGACAAATCCATGGAGTGGTATGATGGGAGATATGGGGAAATGTTTAATTAAATTAACCTGATGCTTACCCTTCAAACAAGGTTGGGTTGGGATGTAAGAACGGAAATCGTATTGTCCGGAGTCTCGGTCGGCTGAGACGCGGGCCAGCCTGTTTGTTGAGGCGCGGGCAATCCTGGTGGACATAATGAGGTCCCGGTAGGTCTGTAAACAAACACAGTAGAGTCGGGTCCCACAGCGTTGTTCATAGAGGGTGCTGCTGGGTTTCTAAGTGACTCATTAACATCTCGCACACCATGCTGCTGGTTGGAAATCACATGCTGATTGTGATCGGGACCGATCAAGTGGGATGGTTGTTCCCGTTGAGTGTGGTGATCGAACCGTGAAACCGATCCTATTGCGGCTGAACTGGATTCCGACGGACAATCGGGTTCAGGAACATGATATCCAGCAGACTGGGAGGCAAAGGTAGCTGAGCCGCATTCAGAGCCGACCCAAGGACCACTCAGTTCTCCCGTTGCAGGATGATAGGCCTCATTTTGGGGAGCGATTGGTGCATCGGTCGGTCGACGACCAGAAGCATAGTCAACGTGGACTGGATACTGACCTATGGGTAGGCCTGGATGACGCTGAATATGAGCATGTGACGTAAAAGACTTAGCTGGTTGAGGAACAGGGGCATGGGTATGGTATGTTCCAGAATAGACCTGCTGCTGTTGATAGACCTGGTTCATTGAAATCGAAGGATGTTGAGAAGTGCGATACGGCTGGGAAAGCATTTGAGCTTCTTGATTGGATGGTCGACCATAGGAGAAATGTTGGAACTGTTCATTCGGATAACCCATAGGACCTGCTTGGAGCGGCCCACCTTCATAAACTTGTGACCCACAGTAGGCTTTGTAGGTCTGTGGCTGCTGTTGCTGTTGCTGATACCCTGTGTGGTAGGATACTCCCGACTGATTTGATATCCATGCGCCCTTTGCGGCTGTGAGAGATTGCTATACGCAGAAAATGAAAGAGTGAACTAGGCATATTGAACCCCAGTCAACAGGCGATTAAAATAGGGGACATTTGCAAGGTAACTTTAGACAAATGAAACATTAACTAGGGTTCATTTTAATGTTTAGAGATGCTTTGACAGTGGCAAAAAGTCAGCTGGATGTGTGTGATTGAAGTTTATTCGTTCACCGATGATTCGGGGAGGTGGGGTAGGTAGCTACGCATTGGAGTCGGGACCTGATAGATTAGTGCGTGAATACGGCACTGTAGGTGGACTGTTAAGTGTGGGGATTGGAAAGGGAGCTATGCATTGAAGGCAATGGCTTGGATGCACGAGCGCCATTGAGGGCGCGACTGGGCCATGTCCGACAATGTCTCTAACCAATGATTCATTCCGTCTCGGGTTCCCATCCGGGAAGACGCCAATGACCAGCGAAGCTGAGTTTGCTGGTAGTGGCTTATATACTTCGCTGCCAAGTCATTGTTTGACCGCCTCTGGCTCCCTTCCACCCTTCAAGTGGTTGTGCAAAAAGAGCCCTTCGAGGAATTTGGTCGACTGGCATGCGCAGCACGTGGCCAAGCCAGCGCAACCTATGCAGTGTGATCAGTTCATCTATCGAGGGTGAGTTACTTTCCCCGAATACCATTCGACGAACTTCTGGTGTCCCCACCAGATTCGGGCAATGCTCCGATGGTCAAACTAGAGTTCGAGCGTTACTTTCCAAATTACCCAATCACAAACAGTGATCTATAACCAAGCCAGACTGAATAAAACGCCACAGACAACATTCACCGTACGCTAACGAACATCCTCCAGGCGTACACGTATCCTGAAACGGTCCAGAGGTCAAGATAATTAGAGCAGAATCCCTGCGAAAGTCAGCGACAGTCTGGCTGGAAAAATCTAGATCTGAATCTAAGGGTTCCGACTAAACTCTAGACACAGTAAAAAGGACTAGCACAACAGGGCCGCTGTTGACACAAGGACACTGAACAGTTAGACACATTAAGAATGGTGGAAAAAGGGTTGTAACCGTCGAATTTGAAGAGAATGGAGTTGGTGTTATCAACAGCACTTACTAAATAGCTAACTATTGGATAGCTTGTGTTAGACAAGCTACGTATGTTCCTGATCCGTACGCTGAACGAATCAAAACTAACTTGGAGATACTAGTTAGCTTTTTTGATTGATTACGTAAATCCGCTGAACGACGTGAGCCTCCTACTTCGTGAAAATGCTGCAACTGACCATAGGAAAAGAGATGAGAGCTGTTATTTTGTACTCCAATATCTGGCAGCGACAAAATTTCTGCACAGTACTGTCGACTGAATCCTGCCACGCCAAGGGTTTCCCAATGGTAGCCTTATTATCGAATGATAAAAGTAAATAGAATTTGAAAATATGAGGTAACCGAGTGGGCAAATGGTGTTACGACGCTTCCCTTCAAAGTGATTTAACAAAATCAACTCAGACCTCTGTAAACCAGACACAATAATCCCTTGAAAACAACAGACATTCTTTGGAACTGATGTACAGGATGGAAAATCATCCGGCCAGATTGCGGATGAAAAAAATGCAAACTACTCGGCGATTGCCAAATAAGTTTGTCACCTGACATAAATATCGTGCAACTCATAACAAGTACTTCGAATCCTAAACAGGGGTCTCCGCTTAGAACATTATGAATTGGATAAGCGTGGCTTTATCACTCAGATGGATGAGTTCAACTCGTGAGAAAAAGTCAGGATCCTACGGATTACAAACGCATAGAAAATGGAACACTGGGTATGATTCCTTGGTTGTTGATCAGGTGGCTGTTGATCTGTTCGCCGAGCTTGGCAATTGGCTTGCAAACGTTTCGTCACCATACGAGGAGACATCATCAGTGCGCAGTTGAGTGGGTACTTCTTCCTTGCCTGCGTGCGCTTATATAGCATTCGAGGGCTATCTGTTATCTTCTGACGTGATTGGCTACTTAAAGTGTAACAAATTTAGTGAATCTATTGGTCCATTTTTGATCTTTTTTGCGTTGTGGTCTGCGTTCCTTTGTGTCGATTGGTTATCCTCACGCCTTCTATTTTTAGCAGTTCGTTCTCTCCAGCCTCGGGTTGTATTTCGTTGTGGTCTGACGTTCTTGAGTTTGATTGGTTGCTTGTGCCGCCCTATTTCCTCCACCGTAGCGGTCAGCGTCCCTTCTCCGTCGGTTGATTTGGTGCTTTGATTGGGCGCTTCCTCCAATCCAATTGATGTGTCCGTTTGAATGATGTTTTCCTCCTTCTCTTATGATTTCCTCGTCTGATTGATTTTGCAGCTTTAAGCTCGGTGGTTCTGGAGTTCTCTCGCTCTTAGTGGCTGGTAAATCGGATCAATTTCGATGTGTTTGTTGATCGCCTCTTCGGTGGAGTACCATGCTTCCATAAATTCGCGTTCGTTTTTTGTTCTTGCTTGAGCCAATATGCGGACGCCGCTCCAGTCGAACTCGTGTCCTTCCTGATCTTTGTGTGCAGAGATGAGGGAGAACTGATCGTGCCTCTTGAATACATGAACACAAGCTCGCCACCAAGAGGCACTACTATTCTGCTCGGAACTAGTTGATACACAACGTTCGAACCGAATCTAAACAGTAAGCCGCAGCGCAAACCGGGGGAGGGGGGTGTGACCTATACCTGAAGTCAGGCGTTCGGAAAACGACAAAAGTCAAGCCACAGATGTTGGGTAAACCAGAGAGTAAGTGGAGTACAACTTAACAGAAAGAAATGACAGATCACGAGAAATCTAGCCCCCAAAAGTTTTCCTGCACTTGTTTGCGGAAACTTCAAGATATGGCTACTAATCGCTGTTATACTTATAGTGACTATCAAGTTGTTAGTGAGTGTCGAACAGCAGGCTCCAAGCAGGAGAAACGGTCACAACTCGACGCACGAATTCACTCGGGTACTGTAAGCGAAAAAGTTTACTATGGATGTTTACTGGTTTTACGGTAGCAGTATATTAAGAGTTGGGATCAATGTAACCAGGCACAACGCTGCACAGTAAGCTGAAAATTTGTAACGAAAGACATTCAGACCCAACTTAGAGTCACGTGCTCTGTCAAAATCACCACGAGCAGCCGACACGCTGAAACAATGCACAGCCCGACCGAACGAACACATTCCGTAGGGCTTTGTCGATTTTCTCTACATGCGATCGATGTTAGCGTACGTACGCACACAGCTACACAGATACACCTATAAATGCGTGCGACTCAGTATGTCAATCGACCGGTTAGCTGGACTGCGGCTTGTGGGTGGGGTGCCGATACCTGACATGTGCACACGTGCGTGAATGGTAAGGCTGTCGTCGCCGGTTCAGTGAACTGTATGCAGTTGTGCCAACCTCATCCGTAGAAGAGACCCACATTAGCCAGTACGCTGATTTCATCGATGACTTTGGTGATCGGACACGACCTTGCTAGTCCTGACAACATAGATACACTGGGGTTCAAAGGTCGTAACTAGACCACAGATGAAAGAGGAAAGTTGCAGCTTCCACGGGCACCTTTTAAAAAGCATATAGGAGTTACTGCGGTGATTCACTGGTCGAAGGTGGTTTTCGGTTTTAGTGAAGCACGGAACGCAGTTGGTCTTACGTCACTGCGTAAAGTTGATTGGAAGCTGGGAAACTTACGCAATAGACTGTAGCTAACGACAGTCTCATGGGATGGTTAACTAAAATCACTACGGACATGCACTTGATGCCTTCCGCACGCCAAATTCCTCTTTTACAGCTACAGTTGTCTTTTTCCGAACACTTCCCTAGGCAATCGACTAAATGCCGCATCAAGAGTCGTTCATCCAGCTGTAGAAGCCTTTCGGCACCTAGCTGCCATGCCGCACAAAGGAAGCACGAGGGCTGAGATACTGCCAGGTCGGCCAAGCCTAGACAGGGAGAGTAGAGAGACAGGGGTTGGGTTCGAACCAAGGAACTTCCGGTCAGTAAATTCGCGCTCTAACCACTTGGTCCATCTTGCCTCCACACCAGGATTATAAGTAACTTAACAATCCAGTTTGGTTGTAGCATGTGCCGATACGTTGAAAGTCAACGCTCCGAAAACTTGACGGTTTTCCAAGTAGCAATGAAGGAGTTTATTGTACTTAAGTACAGAAATCACATCCGTTGACTGGGGGGGATTCGATAATATAAGAAAGGACGCCACTGGAAACACGCCAGCAGACCTAGTACACGGCGAAAACAAGGGGAAGGGTTGGGACGTAGTATAAGTACTGTGACCCTTAAATGTTCAGGAGGGTGCCTGTCTCAGACAACATTCAAGTGAATCGAGCATGGGGCTGGAGGAAGGCAAACCACATGAGGTACCGCTTTCCAACATCTTTACAAAGTCTAACGCATCCAACATATAGATTTTCGAGTCACGTACAGGGAAAATCATTTGTACTCCAGACAGCAAAGCGTTATGATTCCACACTGCTCAGTTTGACGGTGGCCGCTTTCCTTTTTGATTACTTTATTATGGCCTGTTCCGCAAGAACCTTTTTACAGTAATTGTTAGGAGAGTTATCGCGGAAAATTCTGCGATAACCCAGTAAATACAGTCGTAATGATTTTCCTTAGACTCGATAAAGGGCGGTTTCAGGCTACCGTGCCTTTTGATACAGAATCGTTCAGCTGTAACACCCTTTCGGTGCCTAGCTGCCATGCCACCCGAAGGTTGCACGAGGGCTGGGATACTGCCAGGTTGCCCAAGCCTAGACAGGGGAAGTCGAGAGGCAGAGGTCGGGTTCGAACCACGGACCTTCCGGTCAGTAAATCAGCGCTCTAACCACTTTGGCCAGAACAGGAAATCAAGGACCGACATAGGAGTTCCATCAGAGTAAGCAAGATACAACACCTTGTAAGCGGTACTAAGACCAACGTACGGATCGACCAGAATCAAGGTTCCGGCTCCCCGTGTGGATGCCATCACCAGCGATCAGCTGCTGCTTTCAAAACAGCAAACATCCATTGCGCTGTATGGGCACCATTTACAAGATAATTTCTCTAAACGCGGAGGAATACGAAAATTACAGTTAACTGGTATAAACAAACGATGACATTATGGTAGTTAAGAACACGGAGCAATACTACACGCTCACCGACGAGTGCCCCATTCGTTCATGCATTGCCGCATCCGGAAGTAGAGGGTGGGTGGTAGTTTGGTTCGACATCAAATATCCAGTGTTGGAGTGGGATTGATGGTGCTGATTGAACTGAACAGTTTCTGAATAACTACTCATACCAGTCTTCAATTCCCGATGGATTGGCCCGGATTGGAATAAATCCGAATGTGGCTGAGGAAGTTGATTGTTCGTATCATGCATGCTGAGCTCAGTGACAGCGTACGGCCCACTCGAATCTGCATGTGAAGGAGGAGTAGGATAGCGGACATTCTGATAGCACATTAGCAAAACGCCCGAAATCGGAGTACCGTAGAAACGACAATGTGTTCAGCAGCAGACACACGGGGAGGACTTTTTGTTCGTCGAGTCCAACAAAAACAATGAGACGAAACGGGAAGCTCATGCATATCGATTAAAAGCAAGTCAGCAGGTGAACCGAGGTCTTATAGAGCGGTGGAAACACTATTTACAGACTGACTATCAAACACACACCAACTCAAAGCATTTGAATGGTAAAGCTATGTTACATTCGGGTCAATCGTTAGCCTTGTGTATGGCACGCCCAGATCATGTTTCTTCGGACGGCATAAGTAGAAAGATTTTTGAAGTGAGAAAGACGGTATCGCAATTCAACACGGGTTCATTATCAATGGCTATTATGAGAGCGAAGGGCTGTGGAATGTGAGTTCGCTCCTTACATTGAGGATTAAGTGCTATATAGACACTTGGCAGTTAAGATGACTGTATCAATTGTGCACAATTCCCACATTTTGAAAAACTTGACTGTACCTTGGAATACTGTGTTACGTGAATTCTAACCTAGGTCGAAGTTTGTGTAGATTTTGGTTAATTATCGGGACGATACGGAAATGATGGAGCATCGAAAAAGAATTTGTGTGCTTGTCTCGAATTAACGATGGGCTTGCATGAGATAGCACTGCAAATGCGACTCATCAGCCAACCCAATTTTCAAACAGAGAGGAAACAGCGGAGAACACACAAGTTAAAAGGACTCAGTAGCCACATGTGTCCAACCGTGTTCGACGGATCCAAGAACAACCTCAATACCAGGATGGCAATACTGCTGCTCAAGTAGGTAGGATCTGTGCATCCCCAGTCGCGACAAATTCTGTCATAGTTCTCCAACCTATGAACTAAAAATATTAGTGCCAAAAAACAACCTGGACTAGAAAAGGCCCAACTGGAATGTGTCCACGTTTCTAGTTTATTTCCTTGGTTTTTAACGGAATTACCTACTAGAGTTCGGTTTTCACTCAGCTAGTACATTTAACACCGTTAGGCAATGTTAGGTCACGTTGAGTCATGTGCGAAACATAGCACAAGAACAGTGTGAATCTTTTTACCTCAGGTTTACGCGTTGATTCCTGCGTCAAATGCCACTTGAAACGTCTCTCAAAATGCTCAGTTTGCAGGCTTAGACGGTGGTTTTTGAAGAGAAGTTTCTGGTGCACTGCTCTTTTACTAGATCTCACTGGTGTGAAGTTCTTCAATCTGCTTTATCATATCCTGTTGACAAAACCCTGATTATCCCTTTGGTCATTAGTGACAACTTCTCGAAAGTTTTCATACTTGAAGATCAAGAACCAAATATAGTGCTTTCGTCTACAGCAGATTCTTAAGTGTTTCCCAAAGATGGACAGATTCTTCCGGTCGCGAGAGGTAGAGTACCCCGAATAGAGGTGTTTCTGGAAGAATCACAGCCTGCTCACCCTTGTGGAAGCCAAATTCAAATGAAAACAGCGGAAGTTGACCGCCAATAGACAGATTCGATAGATTCTACTTTATGTGGTTCTAACCGCTGATGATCCGCAAACACGCTTATATATGCCGGTCCACCTTGTCCAAACTATGCGGTATCGCAGAACAGTAACACCATCCCTGGGCTCGTGAAGTGTGGACAACACGAACACATATTTGTTCAAATTTCTGTAGATAGCAATCACCTGTGAGCTCCTTCACCGATTCCCGAAACACGGTCAAATGAGTCCCGCTTAGTGTCTGCCTGAACATCCCCATGATTCAGAAGTGGCTCCTACATGACCGCACGAAACACAGGGAGGAACAACTGTTGTACAGATACTAGCCTGAGCGTCAGCCACACTCAAGTATCTGACATCATGGAATAGGAATATGCAACTCAACAAGGAAACTCGCGAGCGTCTAACATCATCATACATCGCATTTCAGAACATGTAGATGGGAGCCTTCAAGTGGTTTGTGGAGGAACGTAAAAACATGTCAGGAGTTATGCACAGCAAAAAAAGCGAACAGCATTGTCTGGATTTTGGATAAGCAGGAGCTGCTGAAACACATCGGTATCGCAAGCTGTGAGCAGCTGTTCTGAGTATCCTAACATCTGCTTGTCTCTTCTATTCATATCCATCAAATCCCTATGAAGATTTCTCGTAACTATGGCGCCAAAGGCTTGAATCCCCTGTGTTCTTCTAACAGGACTGAAGTTTGAATCTGTCACGAGGATTCGAGGTCCTCAAAAATGCTGTCTATAACTCTCCAATGTAAGCGAGATGCAAGTGTGGATCCGTTAACGGCAGGTGCTGAGCCCGAGATACATAAAGTATAAACACTAGTCGCTGACTGCGAATCCAATGTTACGAGCCCATCTATGATACAGAAATTTATTCTGGAAGCTATGCACCAGGAGGTTGTCAGAACGGAACAAACTTCTTTACCGCGGATGAGCTCCCATCAGAATAAATTTAGTCCGAATCACATTACACGATAGCCTTCGCCTAGAAGAAAAGTGCAGCCAGATAGCCGGTACTCACCAGAAAGGCATGTAAATTCAACTCGAGTGGGTGAACTCAAACGGCATGTGCTGCGAATTCCAGAACGAAAACTTAATCACAGCATGTGGTTCTGGAGATGTGAGGTATATAGATTTTGGTTCAGATTGTACGCAGAAAGTTAGAAACGCCTGTTTGACGTACCCAATATGAGAACAATGACAAACTGTAATATGATCATCATCGGTTCTGACGGCGGCACTAGCTAACAGTAGACTGAAGGAGTCATGCTGACATTATCAGGAGACATACATAGTGAGATAGGGGGTTTTAAGAGCCTTGGAAACACGTCACAGAAAACATGCTGCCGTGTGACTGCCTGTGACAGTCTTTGTTGGAAGCCGTCCCCACTCGGCGCATTCCTAACTCAAGTACGCAGATTCAGTCTGATGTCAGAGCTGACCTAGCATCGCGTTTTAAACCGCAACGGAAAACTCAACATTACGTACGGTACCGATCGGCCACATTCCGTTTTCAGTCGTTCCAATGGAATTCACCAGCCTAAGCACAACCGAACTGAGGGAACAATACTGTAGTAGCTACAACACACCACAACTATCCGTAAACCCTTCATATTCAAACAGGATAGACAAACGAACAGGACCGCACACAGTTCAGTGCTTGCAGACAAAAACACTAAACTCAAAGTGTACTCAAACAAATAGCTTATTTCGGCAATAGTGGTACGTGGCAGAGAAGACAGACAACATGACCCACCTAGTTAGGGATAGACAGCCTTGTTACACTAATTGTTGAAAGGTTTATATGACCGTGATTTTCGGCGTCACGTTGTGGACAAGAATTCAATAGATTTTTCCACACAAAAACGAAAGTCGCCGCAACAACAGACAAGACAATCGGACGGAAAGGATGAGCACAGAGTCTAGGAGCTGTCAAGGAATCGAAGGATAGAATAAGCAAGAGATCCGGGTTTTGAATACTCTAGAAGCATTTCGTTTAATTTCATAAAGTTCAACAAGGTTTGCTTGCAAATAGCTACTGGACAAAACGCCGCAGTTTTTTTCAAAAAGGGTCTCTGCATTGATTACAATGCTGCAGATATGCGATTATGAATTCTGCGACGTTCGAATTGCCGCGCATGTTTTGATTGCCATCCAAGGTCGATGGGACTTCTGTTGGACTTAAATACACTGGTTACAGCTGCCAGACTTTCTTTCACTGATGATATGGGGAGGGGGGTTAGATAACTGATATAAGCGATAAGTAAATAAAGAGCTGTCAGTGAACTTTCCATTGGAGAGACACGGAGGGGAGTTATGCATTGAAGGCAATAGCTTGGATCATCATCATCACCGATAGCATGACATCAGTGTTCAACATCGATGCTTCACTGCCGTACAACCATGATTTGTTTGAAAGTCTAATTGTAAGGAAAAGAGTAAAGGTGGATGGGGAAGGGACTTAGTGCTAGCTTACCACAATCGTTCCGAGGTGCCCACGCCTCCAGACATTCACTGAGGCAATCTGGATATAAACTGACAACAAGAACTCCACTGACATCGGTTAGCAGCCATATCTTGTAGTGTCTCCAACCGGGCACAATGAGGATTACGCGGTCCCCATCCTGGAAGGCGAGTAGCACCGACCGCACCCAAGCTTTTCGTGATCTCCTTCATACTCCTCTGCCAAGTCAAGGGTTGGCCACCTCTCTGTTTACACCACTCCGAATTGGGCATGGAAAACAGCACTCTCTTCGGCAAACGATGGTTCGGCATACGTCACACGTCTCAACCAACGCAGCTTCTGGTGCTGGACACATTCTTCAATGGAAGTACCCGTTGCACAACCGAAAACACGCTTTCTAACTGCCTCCTTATGGATTCGCCGACACCAACCCACACGAGCTGTGGTTGAGACAACGATTTTCGAACACCTGAAGACGTCTCAGGTCCGCTGCTTGAATAGGCCAAGTCTCACAGCCATACAACAAAACAGCCCGTACTGTAGCTTGATACACACGTCCCTTCAGATTCAGGGATAAACCATTCTGATGCCATAGGTATCTCAAGTTAGCAAACGCGGCCCGAGCCTTGGAGATTCGTGCATTCACTACAATCAGAACTAATACAACTTCCAAGATACGTAAAACGCTCCACAACTTCCAGTACCTCTCCCTGGATCGTAAGTGGCGTGTTCAGTGACTGCACGTCCACAAGCATGACCTTACACTTTGTGGGTGCAAAGTGCATACCAAAGGACGGGATGACTTTGGTCAGTTCATCCAAGAATATTTGCGCCTTTTCCTCCTATTCGAACATGAGAACGATGTCGTCTGCATATTCCAGATCGACAAGGTTTTCTTCACGGGCTATTTGAACACCAGGGTTTTGGAACACCAGGGTTTCGGAGACCCTGCAGCGTTCGTCTCATTAGTTCATCGCTGCCAAGTCATTGTTTGACCGCCTCTGGCTTTCTTCCACCCTTCACGTGGTTGTGCGAAAAGAGCCCTTCGAGGAAGTCGGTCGACTGGCATACGCAGCACGTGGCCAAGCCAGTGCAACCTATTGTGAGTGATCAATTCCTCTATCGTGGGTGAGCTATTTCTTCCGAATACCATGATTGCTTCTTGTATGGAATCCCTGGCATCAATCATGACTAGCGATCTCGGCGATATCCAATGATCGTTTGGCTGTATTGGAGAAGTTGGGCAGATATCAGTGAACGCCACTAACATAGCACCTTTCACATTTTACCATATTTCATTCACCTGCTCGCTACCCGCAGTGTTGGTTTGCTGTGGAAAGTTGTTGAGCTAGGCTATGGTAGTTCTTAGAAAACAGTAGATTGGTATGCATCTTGCCGACTTACAAGGGCCCGAAGAAAAACGAACTGTCAGGCGTGCAAGCACCATGGCGTGATAGGAATCAAGTTGTGTCCAAAAAGGAACCGCAGTCTTGAGTTATAGTTCTCCACCAATGGTTGATGACTATGTGATCTAACTGGGTTCACGGTTGATGTGTAGTTGGTGGTCACCACGTTATGCGATGAAAACGTTTATGCTGAAAGTTCGTACTGGCCAGAAACAGTCGATGACCAATACACAACTGGAGTAGTCGCAGTCCGTTGTCTGTGCGACTAGCATCAACTTCAAATCGACGTCCCGGATGTGATTCCAAGGAGCTCAGACGACCGACTTGGGTATCGAACTCGACGCTTCAGCTCTCGTCGACATAATATTCGTGTAACGTGGCTTTTCAACAAGTCGGATCTTGGGTTTACGGTCCAAAATAACTCACTGGACCAATAATGAGACTGAATAAAAAAAATTGTGTGCAGCCTCAAGCGTACACGTTCCCTGCGGTATGACTGACGCCATTAGTGATCTTTCTAAAAGTTCTAATGGACCAGATTGTTTCGAGCATGAGAAGGGTCATCCAGTACTTCAAAAAAGTCATAACTACAGTTAGCATACAACACTGGCTCGGTATACCAACGACCAGCTTTGTTTTCAACCAGTTTTGACCAGTTCTGTTTTCAATATTTTCGAATATAATCCTAACAACTATTCTGAAAGGACAGGTTGGCAGTTACGTCGGTGGGAAAATTTTCACCTAATTCTAGAACATGTGAAAACGAACGGAAGGAAATAAACCTAGATCGAAGTTTGGAACTAAATGGGCCGGTATACTGTCGAAATGAAGCGCGCAACAACTGATTCAGAGTGTGACGGCACCCGTCAGTTGAGATAATCTGAAACTACTAGTACAGACGGTTAGGTGTTCCACGCAACTATATCACGGTGCTTCACACTGTGAAACCTCTGTAAAATGAAAAAAACACAGTAGAATAAGTTATCATCATCATCATAGCTTGTACATGTTTGCAACTGCTGATAATGGTGATGAGTGCTAGGAAGTGAAAGCACCTCCACATTGGCAAGAACTACTCCCGGAAGTAGACAACGGAGTTGTCGATGTCGAATTGATTATCGGGATTTATAATACCGACACGTTTTAACATAAGAACCTCATTTGTAAACCATCATCACAATGAACCAAACCGGCTCGAGATTCAACCTAATCGAGGATATCGGCCTGGTAAACCATAACAGAAACCCATCCGATGAGCGGCCAGCTCAGGTTAGGACCAAAAAGCTTCTTTTCCCATATCTCCTCTTTTGGGGGAGCACATTATACGGGCAGCCTAGTGAAGCCGCCTTAGAACAAGAAAGCGAGGAGCGGGACGCGAAAATCCAAACCCCATTGCTGTGTACGATTCGTTTTGATTCGTTCAGCTGTAAAACCCTCTCGGCGCTTAACTGCCATGCCAGCAGGAGGGAGCACGAGGGCTGGGGTACTGCCAAATTGCCAAAGCCTAGACACGGGAAGTCGGGAGGCAGAGGTACACCAGTGAAAACAGCTAACTCTGATAGAACTATCAGGTTAGAAACTAAGATTTGGGAATTGGGGACGACAGTTGCCTAGCGGCTTGCTTAGTGAAATTGAGGTGGCCAACAAATAAATGTGGTTTGATTTCCAGGGCATAATATACAGCACTAAATCGAATCCACGCTGCTGTACGGATGCAACTAGAGCAGAGCTTTCCCAGGTCTGATGGAAGGATTTTGTTCACAATACCAAGGCACACCATAGGGTTTTTGGAAGAAACGTATGGTCAAGCAAAAAATCAAAAGTTAAACATCAGGTTTGCGGGCCGGAGGACTACAGGTCCGGCAGAGTCCTGTTTCACAGGTGGAACTACGGAGTCCAGAACAACACTCACTCATGCTGATGGCAACAGTCAAATTGAATGGGGACCCAGAGGATGAATTTAGAAGTGGTTGGAAACACTAAAGGATATGAGAGTCAAGCAGCAAAACTCTCCAGAACATTCAATAATGAACTATTGACTATATACATCTCAAACCAATCCATCCCAAAGAATGAACCTTCCGGATCCCTAACGTTGTAGAGTATATTTGTAGGTGTTGGAACAACTGCACGCCTGTATGCTTGGCAGCTCAAATCTACTTGGGAATCAATATCAGATCCGAATTCGGACTCACAGAACACCTACGGAACACCATAAGGAAACATCTACCCACGTACGCTAAACCGATAAATTTGGAGGGCCAGTTGTGAAAGCAACCGAAACGATAAGCTAAGCACTCAAAGGAGATGCGTTCGATTCACACACCACGCAAAAGTGAGACTGTGTGCGTATATGTGAGATCCGGCAAGGTTACATACGTGATTGATATGGACAATTATTCAAACACACAGGTGAACGTATGGTTAGGCGTACCACCTACGTTCACGTGCATTCACTGAACCAACTACATACAGGCATACAAACAAAACAATACGCAGATAACATATTACAAAGCATCGCCCACATAGCACATGAAACAGATCGCCGGTACTGTAGTTGCTACCTGGGGTAAGATTTACTGAATACGAAGTCAGCACCAATATTAGATAGACCCCTTCAAGTGGACAGGAGCGCACCACATCGACAGACGGCAGTGTTGCCACAGCAACACAGACACGCACGTGCACGGTAGCACGAGCACTGTGATACCAGTCACATGACGGTATCACAGAGACGTGTGCTTTGATGTGATCCATAGTGGCAAAACGAATAGTGATAGTAGTTTGAAGTAGTAAAAACAGGTTGACTGTACAATACAGAGCAGGGCGTGGAAACACTGGCCACATCACTGTCGAGGGTCGAAACGAGGCTGGAGAATAGAGGTCGATGATTAATTTCTAAGGGGGCGCTTTACGGATAGTTAGGGTCGTAGGTGCAGTATTTGTCGAACCTGATAAATCTACATAGCGATGGGTAGTATATGTTGTTGTTGTTGTGGGTTTTCTTTGGTAAAGTAGATGCCATAACCCCGACTCCCATCTACAAGCAGCACCAGCTTTGAAGATCTAACCATGACTAATCATCAGGACTGGGTGTCAGTAAAACATCCAGCGTATAAGCAAAAGTTTACATAACTTCACAGCATCTACTACATCTGATGTTAAAGGAACTCACATGAAGACACTGGTTGTTGCATGATTGCTCGCCCGTGAGGACTAGCAACGGCAAAGCTGGAAGCTTCTCTGTGCGAGAGCAGATGATTGGTTAGACGATACAAATGCGGATCCTGAGAGCCATAGGGGATGCTGGCTTTAAAGGGGTGATTATAGTGTTGAATCATAGCATGGCGTTCGTTCAGTCCGTAGAACGGTGTTTTATGACGAAAACCAGGAGTAAACTCTGCAGAGTCGTATTGCACGGGGTTATTGATAACTTGCATTGGCTCTGTGCGGAAACTTGACAGATCGTCTTGCTTGGGGAAACACGCACCGTGAGAGACGGGTGTTGGCCGATTAGGATAGTCTTCATCAGCATGACGATCCAAGTAAGACTGAGACATGCCTGACGATGGATCTCGCCCAGTATCCGATAATGGTTCGTTGGTATGACACCCAATGGAAGAGTTTCCATAAGTTTGGAGGAAAGAGGACTCCGCATGTGTTGCTTGTACGTAGTTCGAATCCACTAAAAGAGAGAAGAGAAAAAACTAACATGCTCATCCCAGTGGGTTATTCGGTCAAGCCATTTACAGTTACTGGCTCAGTGACCATTCTTGTCAACGACCCGCGTTCAAATTTCCGCACCAGCGCCTTCAGCTCGGCTGTCGATCCCATCTTGAAACGTTTGATACATGTTTCAGTGATGAAGGAGTGTCAATACTTTCACACCAGTGATTACGTTTGATTTCAACGGGTACTAAATTGCCCACTGTTAGTCAAGTAGTCCTGGTGAGCGGACGTAGAGGACTCAGCCGAAGCCAATGTTGAGCCGTGTGGTTAAGACCCAAGACTTCGTAATTTACCCGAAGCAGTTCCAAGCTTTGTGAAAAACAGACCGGTTTGGGGTGGACTCAATTAAAATGCATAGTTCCTTCTGGGCCCGTAACACACCTCTTTGTGACGCAAACAATAAGCTGTGCAGTTAAATCGAGGATGAGGAAGACTACTCTACGTTGCCACAACATTCTAATCTGAAGGACACTTCAAGCAGTCCTTACTAAGAGTTCTGAGCGTTAGATATCCGAAGTGGATTGCCAGCTAGCATAGGTTGAACGACTGAAAGCAGTTACCTGTATTCGGAAGAGTCCAGTCTTTGGTTCAACATAAGTGGAAAGACGTTCAATCAGAAATTGTTTGAAGTAAACCTAATATGCGTGCGTTTCGAAACGTCCCCTGTGTAGCTGACCCTGTCTGCAGTACCATTCGCTCAAAATGAACAGGCGTATGCCACCCAAAGACTAACTTTTCGAGATGACCTCAGCAGTAGTGTATGGCCTCTCTCGGCTGGCTGTTATCTTCTCGAACTGCTTTCCACAAAGTGATAATCATGGCATCATAGTGCTCTTTGAGCGATGTTCAAAATTTGTAACCTTTCGCATGTTCTGACTCCAGGGAAAGTTCTTAAACATTTTCGACTCCGTTAGAATCATGTACACATAAATACTAAACTTTCCAGTACCAAATATTAGAGGTCATCGAGGATTTCGACCCTTCAGTTACGTTCGAATACAGCTGATCTTAAACAAGTCAAACTTGACACAGGCATATTTCCTCATGAAAACCTCATGAAACCGCACGCCTGAAACTGATCCCAGTTCACTGTTCACCAAAACCACTATATATTTTTGCGAAGCCGTAGAAGAATCCAAAACACGGGGGGAGTGAGATGTTTTGTGCAGGTTTAACTGTAGACTGCCCACCCACTTGCTACTTACTAATTAGAGCCCAAAGGAGCATTAAAAGCAGTAGCCTGAAGGTCCGTAGCCAACACTGAGTTCGAATCTGGCCAAAAACGGAAGCGGCTCGACAGTAGGGCATGAATTATTGAAAACGTTTAGAACAGTAGCATGTGTCACGTGGATTGCTATTTTCACTGTCTTTCCAATCTGTTTTCATATTTTCGCTTGTCCAGCTGCTGATGTAATTCCTGAAATGCTAGACGATGGTGTCCATGCGTCAACAGTCAACCAACTTCTTTGGATCGACGTATCCCGTATGAATGTAAATAGGGACGGCGAAATGGGCAACTTGATATGCGTTCATCGTGAAACGATGACACTTTTCGTCCGCCTTAGCCCTTGAATAGAACAAGGCACAGATGGCCGTCTAGATGTACCACTTTTTAAACAAGCATTTGCTTGCCACTATTATTTTGCTCCATGGTAGTCACTCAACAGTCCGACCACAAAACCAATAGTTGACGGGCTGTTATCCGTAACACCATTATATCCTCCGAAAGCCCTGCTCAAATGACCCAGTTTTCCACTTTTCTGGGTTGAACGCGGGAGATGTTGGTTGCACTGTCATTTTGTAGAGAGTCCAACCTTCTAAAAAACGTCTAGCCATAACATGCTTTCGGCGACCAGCTGCCATACCACCCAAATGAAGCAAGATGGTCTAGACAGGACCATTCCATTTCAGAAGTTGGGTTTGAATCACGGACCCTTACTTCAGTGATTTCGAGCCTTAAACAATGGGCCATCTCGAGCTCTTCCTTCTAGGGTTTATTCGTGCCAATTGCTTTTTCACCCGACTCACCCGAACAGACTCTGGTGTTGGTCGACGTCGATCTGAGTGGTGCACGATCTCGAGGAATCTCAATGACAAACCGATAATTCTGTAACCCTATCGGCAAAATGAGGGAGTCTGAAGTCTCAGAGGGGACTTCAGCCTTTTAGTGAAGTGAATCTATGCTAAAAGTGTGAAAAAACAGTGCACAGGTGCTTACTCCTTATTGAGAATCATCAGCAGTTTATATCCCACGAATCTCCAAGGCGACTCGGATTTGTAACTACCCAACTAGTAGCAGCAGACTAGTACACTAAACCCATCCATTGGTTAGCTTTAGCAGCCATACATCAGATAAGTGGTATTGCTTGAATATTTTCCCGTTAAAATGAGCTGGATCATTCATATTTTAATCCATCCCCCAACCTCGAGGAAGAGGAGCGTTGCCACGGAAGGACTTGAACCAGTGCATTTGAACTAACGGCCACACAACTGGGTGGTTTGAGCGGCTCAAGCGGGTCGGTACACACATGAATTGAGGTGTTTCTAGCGTTGACTAGAACAGCAAGACTAACCGCAGGTAAGACCAGGCTCCACGGTATGTCTTACGGTTCATCACAACACAAATCCGTTGGTCACTCATTTGTCATATGTCAAGCTCGTTGATCAGCGCCAGAATTGCACACCGGAGGTAATCAACAAAGCTCAAATTGATGTTCGAACATCTTGGTAACAAGAATCAACTGCAATGCTGTGGTGTTCATTGTACCTGACTTCCGAAAAGAACGGTTCCTGTTGGGGGGCACCGGAAAATCTCACGGGGAAGAGGAAAATTCACCCCTATTTAGGGGTTCCACAATAGCATTCGAAATCAGGCACAATCTTGTAAGGTATCCCAGGGAATAGAGCTCACCCTATTAGAGAAATCGAATACGCACTGTTCCCGTGGTGCATTTCACTGTTTACTGTAGCAAATATGCACAGGCGTCTGGTGGTTCATCAGCCGGTGGATGGTAAAAACTTGTATATGGGGATCTGCAAACGGAGCACGTCGTGTGTTCCGCACGCCTGAATCAAATCGATCAGTAGGATGTTTGACGTATCAGGGTTTAAGGAGGGGGGGGGTGGACGTGCCGTCACTATTTACTTGTTAGAAACATCAAAACTAAACTTCGAAGTTTGACTACAGCGAGGGGTTAGACGAAGCAGAAATTCATTTAGCAGAACTGACGGCAGGGAATCCGAAAATCAGTATCACCGATGCTATCAGTTCGAGACATTCAACATGAAAAAACTGAACAGAAAGTTACATGAGGTTAATAGATAGATGATTTTTTTTAGAAAAATGTAGGTAAACTTCAGAAAAATGTAGCTACCAACAAAGTACGACTTACCACAATCTCGAAGCAACGGTGTTTTTGAGGTAGGGTACGGATTGATAGTCTCTGAGTGCTGTGATGCGGACATTGGTGGGACAGAATTTTTCAGATTACCAACACAGCTTTGTTCATCATCCACAGTTGGGGAAAAAGGATTCTCTGTCAATCGATGTGAGCATGGAGCGGGAATAATGTGAGGCCCAAAAGAATACGGTTCTTCCAAGTTGGTCTGTCGGGCAGTGGTACAGCGACTGTAATTAGATACATGGTCCGAGGTTGGCGTCGGATAGGACGATTGCGGAGTTGTGGCCGGAGGCGATAGTTTGAAGTGGACTCCCATCTCCTGTGAACCCCATATGGGTGCGCTGTTCGGACCCGCACTACAGCTACTACTGCTGCTCCAGCTCTCGAGACCAGAGTCGCCACTTATCAATGAAGCGGTGGGCTTGGAATTAGTTGTTGATATGGGCGACTTCGTGGTCGACGACGATTCTCCCGATTTGCAGCCAGGTTCTTGAGGAGCAGAGGAACAAGGATCGTTTGCATTCCAGTCCATGCGTTGCACAGCATCTGTGTCAAACAAAGGAACTTCTCGAGCTAGGATCTCCTCCAAATCTGTGAAGAAAGCATCAGTCTCCGAATTCACATGCCCAAGTGCGAGCGAGTCTGAGTCTGCCTCTGGAGTTCCAGAGTAGTATGGTGTTGTGGTGGTCTCTTCAACAGTACCGATATCTTCGAATGACTGTGAGCTATTTGCACCAAAACTTATGCTATCTGTAGTAGCCCGCTTGTTATTTCCATCACAATTATCTAACTGTCCTGAAGTATTTTGTGTTAAATAAGCGTGCAGTGCACTAGATGAGGTATCCGGTGCACAGAGGAGCTGTTCCACAGTGGTCCTTGGGATCTTTCCATATCCAAAGGAATTGGGATGACCAGCTGTTGATTTTCCATGACTGAGTGCCAGAGAAAAGTCTGACTGACGATAACCTTCACTATCATATCCTGCGTTTCCTTCCGGCGCAGGAGAGATTGCGTTCGACGTCATCGGATACACTCTATAATTGAACTGAGGCGATGCACTGCAATTATTGGGAAGTTCTTGGGGAATCCGAACAGCGGACCCGAAATCTGAGTGTCTCGATAGACGCTCCTCGGTGTAAAAATCAGCAGAACCACATACCACTGGTGGATCAATGAAGGGAATCCTCGTGGCGCCACTTAGTTCCGTAGATCGTGTAGAACTGCTGTATTCACTGCGTCCGCCCGAACTCTCCGGGGGAGGGCCGTTATCGGTGAAGGAATACACGTCCGTATAGGTCGATTTGGATCCATCAGAAGAGTAAAAAAACTGACTGGAGGAATTCGGAGTTGAACAGGATTCGGTAGTAGCACCCAAGTTTGGGCCACTAAACGGCCGCTTTACGGTGTGTGCTGGATTTGGATGGTCAATAGTGGGGCAAAGTTCGGATAAAATACTCCCGGGAGAGGTTCTGTTGGAGTTGAGACTGATTCGTCTTTGGGAAGATAAATTAGTTCCATCAGGGCTGAGAAGCTCCTGAAGAGAATTCCGACGATCTACGGGAGAGCAATCAAGACGCAAATTAGTGATAAACAAAGATCAAAGCGCGACCGACCAACCGATCAGTCGAAAATGACACAGCTAAACCGTAGCGTCTACGTGGTGCGGTCACTGCAAAAGGGCCAAAATAACGTCAGATCACCCGCACCAAGACATGCTCCCAGTCGAGTGGAACTGTCGACTTTCCACAAGACGCGGCTTAATTTCCGCGCTATTTCTGACGTCGAGTAGTATCCACCATATTCATGACTACTCAGAGCTCACGTAACATTTCACGCCTGATAGTCGCAGAAAACGAACCAGAAAAGCAGCCTGAGGTTACACCATTGGTGAAAAGCTCCTGCTTGAAAACTCATCGAATGTAATAACAGCAACGTATTAGCTCAGCTCTCGTCTGGTCCAAGCTAGTGTTTTCAGCAGAAGAACCACACAAAGTGTGTTAAACACCCAAAAATAGGTTTAAAAAATCATGTACGTGACGCATTTAAGGTGCACGTAGGAATATCACGGAAATTTGGAAGCTTTCTGGATACACAATTAACAACCGGCATTCAGTGGATACTGGAAATGGTTTGGTCCACAATTTCCACCAGTCAGAGTTTGCCTTGATGTTAGACAGGCTATGGGCCCGATCCTCTGAGTAATCAAATGCGTGTTCGATTTGTTGGCCACCAAAGCGCCTAATTGCAAGTGGGAAAAGGATTCTAGTACAGGACTCCGCTTAATACACCCTCCCGTGAAGCTAGTTGAAGGGTCTGGTGTCACGGTCGTGATGCGTGCTCGGGCTTAATCTTCGGCGAAGCAGCCGGTTCAACGGAAGTAACTCTGCATTCAAGTCACTCGGTTAGAGGGACAGGATCTGCGCATTCGTAGGATGAACTAAGTTTGTGTCGGATCAACTAGGGTGGGACAAACTGAATCTTGTACAGCAATTTTCCGTTCCAATGAAGGATATGCCCCTGTATCCACTTAGGACAGACACGAACCAACATTCGCTAGCCCTCTTAGGAGCAGCGCGTGGTTGCGCCGCGATGCTAGTTGATTTGGTCCACCATCCGCGCGTTGTGATGAACTATTTGCTTCTCCTTTGGTCGCATAGCACCATGCGGCGTTCCAAGCCTTTTGTCGGAGCAGCAATAATTCACCGGATGAATTCGGATTCGATGCCGCTTTGCCGAGCAAGATTCGGAGAACTGCTCAATATGGGGACCACCCAGAAGCCGGTAGACAGCCAAAAGGCCGAACTCGCACGTGATTAGTCAGAATCGGGCCGCTTACGGGGCATCAAAGTTATCACTGATCAGTGTAAAATGTAGACTCAGCATCGGCTGCAGTTAAGTCAACCGTCCAACAACGAGGTGTCTTTGAGTTTTCTTCGATAACTTAGAAGTCTTCCATAATTCTCATTTTCAGCTTGCAGTTGCCAGAAGTAAAATTCAGTTGGAATTTCAGGCGCAACAGCATTTTTTTATTCTGATAACCGTTCTGCGATTGAACCGTAGCACTTATTCTGATGAAGTGCGGTTCATTATTTTCACCATTAAAATCGCTAGGAGAAAAAGAGGAAACTTCAGGCTAATAAGATTCTTTTCACTAGATTACTTCGGACACAATTTACAGTGAACGTACCGCATAATACGCTACACTCATAGGGTAGAAACTCGTAAGGAGCGCATTGTAACTCAGAAAACACAGCCCTAGATAGACTGGCTGATGTCGCCTCAATGTCCAACATTCGATATGTGAGTGAATCCAGTGGACTGGACGGAACTCACCTATTGAAAAAGCTAACTTGTAGTTGATCAGCCCCTTGTAGCCAGGTCGTGAATATGGGGTGGGACGAATCAGTGGCTAGAGTGCGAATTTACTGACCGGAAGATAAGTGGTTCGAACCCGACTTCTGCCTCTCGACTTCTCCTGTCTAGGCTTGGGCAACCTGCGAATATCCCGGCCCTCGTGCTCCTCTCTGGTGGCAAACAACAGACGCTGTTTGCACATGACCGAGCTGTCTTTACGAAAGCTAAAACATATCTAAGGACGATCTGTTTCGCGGTATAAACTTGGGAAGGATGTAGGCATGAGGAATGTCCAACACCAGGACTCTATGTGACGTTATGGGCCTGGTCAACTAACTTGCAAAATAGAGCGACACAGGCATGGAAAACTATGCCATTGCTGAGAAATCACGTTTTCAAATTTTACACCCAATCTCATTCTCGCTGAAAATATCCCCTCTACTGTTCCCGTAACCAAAACTGGTGGGCCTCGTCACAATGCATAATTGTTAGTGGCATCTACGCTTTCGTCTGCAACAGCAGTTGGGATACCTCACAATCTTAGATCTTATAAAAGGCGATCCACTTAAGCACCTTTCGTGTTTGCATTCTGGAGCAATCAGCACAACGAGCTTAACCAGGACGCAAGCAGTGCCAAGCGAATGACTAGCCTCTCGTCGCGGAAAAGTGTGCGGAGTCCGCTGCAGATGAATGTGTCGGGCTAAGTAGTTTCCCATGCTATCAAGCGAAAGCATCTTTAGTTGATTGGGTGCACAATGTTTAACGGAATTCCACGGCGTTTGGTAGTCCCCAAAGGCAAGATGAGGGCGAGGAGCCCATTGCTTCCTGTTTCTCACTCACTCAATAGAGGACTTTTGATGCGAACTTATCCAGGATGATTTTCAGCAAATACAATTTCTATGGGGATTTCAGTACCATGAAAACTCCATCGTGGTTGCCCCTAGTTGATATCTGAAACTTACCTCAAACAGTACGTGCTCCACCTGGCTGAATTCCAGAAAATAACCTAGCACCGGTCGCTCAACCAGGCACTTCGACAAGTTCATCAGCAGAGTGCGACCTGCGAGGTCACATGGAGCAGGGATTCTAACCCGCAATTAATATGTCTCGATAAAAGTTAACAGACGATGGTCGAATGTCACCTGCGCGACTAGAACGTACGAAGCACTTAGCCATGGATCAGACAGCCTACCGGTTAGCAACATTATTCTAGCATTCAGTTCAGTTCGATATCATCTTCACCGCGGCTAGGAATGAAATATATACGATTGGACTTGAAAAGCATTTTGGGCAGGCGTCGGTGGTCTATTCCCTGAATCTAACAACACACGTAGTCGTACAGAATGGTGATGTTACCATGAACCGCTTAACACATAAAGGTCTAGCAGGGATTTGCTCTGGCTTCCTAAAACAAGGTATAACCCAGTGAGCATCTGTATTATGAGATTTTTGTCATCAAACTATGGATGGGCTGGTTCATTGGACGGTTACCTGGAGATCAGGACACCGCAGAATGTTGTCGCTCGTCTCAGATTTGCGCATGCCTGAAATGGGCTGGTTCATTGGACGGTTACCTGGAGATCAAGACACCCCAGAATGTTGTCGCTCGTCTCAGATTTGCGTGCACATGCCTGAAGAACGGGTGGGTCGAACGGAGAAACTCGGACTCAAATCTGTGACCTACGGACAGCAGTAATGAATACATCGATTGGCTGATATGTTCGGGTGCGTAACTTTAACCATAAATATAGCGCTTGCCGCTCGTCTCAGATTTGCGTGCACATACCTGAAAAACGGGTGGGTCGAACGGAGAAACTCGAACTCAAATCTGTGACCTACGGACAGTAGTAATGAATATATCGATTGGCTATGTTCAAATGCGTAACTTTAACCATAAATATATCGGTTAACATGGGATCAAGCGGCCGACACACTGTTACACAATTAATATGATGACCGGCTACTCATAATTGTTGCCCGCCTCCAAAAGCAGAAAATACTGAACAACTCAGGTGCCCAGCACAATCGCCAACAGGCTACCAGATCTACATCACCCTATACCGAAAGACTAAGGAAAAATTCAAACCTTTTGAAGAGGACCAGGGCAGTGGACCTCTTCGCCTTGTTACAGATGTGGGGGACGGTTCATTCGGTCTGGTAAAGCTCATCGTTCAGTTGTAGCACCCTTTCGGTGACTGACTGGCACGCCACCAAAAGGAAGCGCGAGGGTTGTGATATTGCCAGCTTGCTCAAGCCTAGACGGGGAAATCGAGATGCAGAGGTCGGGTTCGAACTACGGACCACTGAGTCATCTCAGCCTCATAAAGCTCATACGTACTGATGATGGCAAATATGTCGTGTCGTCTTCATGCATAAAAGACGTCAAGTTTGAATCGACACCTTTTTGCCGTGACAAGTCTTCAAACAATATACATACAGAAGGCCAGCAGTCGCTGACTTCTGAGATGTAACGTGCCATCACAAGATTGAGTAGAATCAAGTCCGAACCGCATAACTGCGAAACGACAAATTGGTGTGGTAAATAAACTTATTTACGTGAGTAATAGTGAAAGTTCCGTGGATAAGCAAGAGGCGAGATCAGCCCTCTGAACAGGGACACTTTGCCAGTGTTTGACACCTATCATTTCCCGATACGTCAGCTTGCCTCACGAGGATAGCGCGCTCCATATTGCTTCATGGGCAAGAGACCTGGCCGCCGAGCAAACATCCTCGATTTGGCCACTTGTGACAATGGAGTCGTGTGGGAACATCAGATTAGAAATACTGAGGTACGCCGGATGATTTTGGGAAGGAATACCGCCATGAACGACGATTAGATCGCACCTAACACATCACGTTGGTCAGAACACGCATCTAACATATCTGAGCACCGTCCACCTCACAGAGTACATTTGCCCAGCATTGCGCTGTGAAAATCGCAGACAGTATACAACTTGGTAACAATGTATGGGGACAGTTGCCGGTAAATTCAGTCATGTTGACAACTGTCGACTATGGATAAGGATCCCGAAACTCCAGGGATCATCGGTGACACTGGCAGACAAGCCGAATCACTCAGTCAGTGGTGCTACAGCGTTAAAACCGTCGCCCTCGCTAACCAGCTACCAATTTTCCGGATTCAACAGACAACTATAGTGATTCAAAGCCAGCTAACTGATTACGCCAGCGTCCTCATTGCCTCACCACATCTCCTCCCAATTTTCAATGAGCGAGCACCTGTAACAGCTGAAACCAACGCACTCTTAATAAGTGGTTTACAGCTAATACGCGTTGGATTAAATCGACCGCGCAGCTTTGTGCCAACGTATCTCTTGTGAAGGTCTTCTTACTATCTCCACCATACATGGGCGCGCGAAGGTCTACGGAGAATCTTTTCTGAAGTTCATAACCAAAATAAAATGTTCTTCGGGGTTGCTCACTGTGAGAACACCTACGTCCAAGTACTGTAAGACAATCCATTCACTCAGATAATCTGGATTAGAACCGACAGTACAAATGCCATTAAAAAAGGAGTCAAGCAGGCGTGGGCATACTGAGTAAACTCAGCTCAAAGGTTAAGGAAATGAAACGGCTGGCTTGAACAGACCAGGACAGAAGCGAGTTACCAGTTGCCTGAACAACACACGATAACGTAATGGTTTCAGACCTAAACAACAAGTGAATGCAAAAAACAAAGTTGACCCCTGGTGAATTGTATGCGAAAAACTGATCGTCTTGAATACTACTCGGATTCTTTAATTGTCTCGCACACCTGGTCATTCCCCATTTGCTGTTTCGTCCTACAAATAGACAAGTAATGGCGTACTAGCAAACCTTGCCCCTAAGGAGCGGTACTGTAATTGACTACCAAACATCTCGGCTCACTGAGAAGTTCCTCACGAATACACCACACTGGCAGACGTGAGTACTCACCACATGGAAATCCACAAACACTAGAGATGGGTAGCTGCGTGCTTGCTTGAACCCCATCCGAGCCGAGTTTGAAGCAAAAGTCCCGATGACAACTAACCATATGTAACGTACGACTCTTGCTTGTTTTGAATGTTTTGCCACAACCCTGGACCTCACACCGGTGGGGTTTTTGAGGGGACGAATCTGAATAAAGAGTTAAGCATATCAGACGCATCTTACATGACATTGGAGATCCAATAGAATTCTTGCGTTTTTCCGAGTGTGTTTGTATCGATCTCTGACACAATGGACTTGAGACGGGCAGTGTGCCCAAGGCAGTATCGGCAACACCAGTGCGGACCGTTTGTTTCCATCCCACGTTAACATTTTGGACAGTCCCATAGTTCATTCGGTTATTGGAACACTGGTCCTCCTCAGGAATTCTTGAAACCGGCAGTCCAGTTTTCAGCGCGTCGTACAAAAACTGCTGACTACCACTGTGTTGGATCCACTGTTCTGAATTCCTACCCTCTGATAATCTTTCCCGTGCTTCGAAAACGTTCTGAGTTTGCGAATGAGGGTCAATATTGAGATGAGTGAAACAATCTGAGCTACGATGGGTAGAATCAATGTGCTTATGCACGTTGCGTTTATATTGGCTAGAGTAAACGCAGAAGTTACAACGGTATCGCTTGGATGCGAGGACTCCAGACTCATGTTTTCGCATATGATTTTTCAACGAAGTACTGTGGCGGTAACGCTTACCGCAAAGAGTGCAAACATGAACCTGCGCTGGAGACGATGAGGCTTGGGTACAGTTACTTTGACGGTCTTTGGAAAGCGGAGGGGAGACAATGAGGTTTCGCTGTTCCAAGGGAACAGAGCAGGAAAAACCAGAAGTGTGCGAAAAACTTGGAGAGTTACTGATGGGTGCCGTAGGTTGGGTTGCAGAGGCTTGATCAGTGGTTGCCGTGTGGTTATCGGGGTACATTGCTTCCTTCGTTTCGTTGACGTTTTCGCTTGAAGAATCATTCGTGTATAAAGGCTCGATCTGATATGTGTACGATGTAAAAGTATCTTGATCAGCTTCAGTTCGGTCTCCAGTAACCAGATGGCTTGGGCTGGAGGAAGGGGGAACCGCGCTCACTACCACCTGAATATGATCTTCCGACGCCTGACCATCATATTCTGACGCCCGAACGCGATTCTGTTCCGGAGGGTCACAACTGGAGCTGTTTGGACAGGAACCACTTGGTATAGAATTTATGGATGCTTCAGACGCTCTTTCCATCATTGATGACACGCCAGTTGATGTAGCATCGACCGAGTACGTGACAGAGTGAGATGACAGTGAAGGTTCGTCGAGCACTTCAGCAGTGTGGAGCGGAGGATCATTCAGCACGGTTCGGATACAAGTGTCAGCTGGTGGCGTAGGTTGCGCCTGAGGAGGTGAATAAATAGACGCCACACTTACTAATACAGTTCCATCTCTGCGTGCGTCCTCAGAACACGAATTCTGAGATCGTTCAGAATTCAGTTTAAAGACATCGTGAAATTCCGAGTTTGGACCTCAAAATACACTGGCAGTCAAATGAACATACCTGTTGAAGATAGTGAAAAGGTTTCAGCGGGAATGAGTTTTTCCATAAACATCCAATCAACCTTTGAATTTGGGTTGGTGTTTAGCAGCTTGTTAATGAGCAGCACAGATGCAGCCAGTGTTCGAAGCTCGATGAACACTAACTTCGGGTAGAACGGAGAAGTGCAACGGGGCTCAAGGTCATTCCCATACCGAAGTCAAACTCCCGCGACCGGAAAAAGCCCGGAGCGGTTGAGTTACTAGTTCAAAATATTTAACTCAAGACTAGTGCCCTAAAAGCTTCTGCTTTATCAATGGCCCTAACACAATACTGATGATTTCTGGAGCGCTACAAATATTGCTCTTTACCAGTTAACGACAACACTGACGGGAAACATAGAGTGCATCCAGGATTACTTGGAGGTATATGCGGAACTCCTATTCAGTAAATTTGGTCCCAAAAATCTCACTCAATGTCTCGTTGTAGCTCAACTTCAAGCTGCAAGAAAAACGTCGACTACTTCTAGGACTAACATTTTTCCATTAAGCTACATCGGTTGATTTATTTCAGTATACTGTATATCGCCGAAATTAAAAATTCACTGTAATCTCATCGCATGATCGCAGTGGTGGTGGACAGCCTCGATGCAACAAGCAACAACCTCTGATACAGAAAATCAACTTCCGGTTTCATAATCATTCGGAAACCTAAAATGCACACGCTAACTTTCCTTGCAGTCCTCAGCATTTTCAGCTCAATCATCTCACGTTGTCGTCAGACGGTCTCCTGGATACAGGTCCCTCAAAATCCCCGCTTCGAGGCAGGCAAATAGAAGTGAAATGCCGGGTGTCCTCAGGGACTTATATTATTTCAAGTATCCCCGTACAAATGGATCGCAAGGTCCATGAAACTTCGATAATCGGTTTCAAAATCTGCAAAATAAGTGTATATGCTTCTGCGCATCCTTGCTTCACTTGACAAGAGCTACAGGAATTTCAAGACTTAACCAGTTTCGTAACCAGCTCGCGTTCTTTTAGAGCACTGTAGACTCCTTTACCATCTCTATATACAAATAGCGTGGTCCGAAACGTTTGATTTTTTCGTATTCTTTGAATGAACATGTACGGCAACTCAATACGTGAGCAATGTCTGTTTTTTTGTCGCCAGAGTGAGAAACGGTGATACGAATTTGTTGTGATAGCGGCCACTGGCTGATTTTCATTGAAGACAAAGCGCCATTGAGCTGATTCGCAGTACGTCAGATTTACCAGCTGTAGATGGACCCTCGTATTCCATCAAGAGGCAGCAGAATGCTGTCTCTCGGATCAAAAAGCGGAGACTTATTCCTCGCTGCGCTCCACCTTTGGCTCTCAGTTTATACATCGAACTGTAGGAAAAACCAGGCTCCAGCTCAGTAAATGGTGATACCATTCTCAGCTCACTTGCACAGACTGCACAGACCCGTTAACTTCACCAAACACACTAACAGGGATACGCTCGACTTCTGAAATCCATGGGGCAACCCTGACACCAGCAGTTTTCGCTTGCTCTCATTGTAACGAAGTAAGTCTGTGGTAACTCAACACCTAGCTCCACCTGTTCAGGCCTTGCGCAGGCGTTCAAGGCCCTTCGTGTCAATATTCACATTTGCTAATTAGGGCTGATTTAGAAGAGCTAATGAGCAAACTACCCTCGCTATATTTCCCTCAAAGGTTTGGACTCCCTTCCACACTCCGTTGCATGGGACCAATACGACCGTCAAATGAGTACCCTGAAAGTGGACATCCAAGATACCCTCATGACCTTTTAGACGTGCCTCAGCCCATTGCAAATCCACAAAGTGGTGAAATGTTTAGTACGCTGTTCCCTCCGGTCACATTATCAAACGAGGTCATAAGGTATGAGCCCGCTACACTTAGGTAGAATATTCAGGACGTGCCTCAACCCATTGCAAATCCACAACGTGGTGAAATGATTAGTACGCTGGTCCCTCTGGTCACATTATCAAATGGGGTCATAAGGTATGAGCCCTCTACACTTAGATCGAATATTCAACAGCTTACATCAGCTAATCAGAACATGCATATTCCTGAAATTTTCCCTTGATTCATGATGCCCAGTGAGGAGCCACAATTTTACTTCCCACCTCTACACTCCATCGACCCCGTGAACGTCTCACCCAGACATCGACTGAATCATTCTCTAATGAATGAGTATCAGGCAGTTTAATCCATACTACAGGCGATGAGGGGGCAGCGAATTCAAGGCACCCTTTCCTCTGGTCATGTAATTTTCGTACTTTATAACCCTTGCTTGCGACAGCAAGTTTATTTTTCCAATGCTTTAAAATTTAACCCAGATACTCTTTGGAGCCTGAGTTGGATCGCGTCTTGAATACACCAAACAAGTTGTCTATTCGAGATGCAGGTGAGATATTACTTTCTTTGAGCATACCCAACGAACTGCCAGGAAAATACCTGTCAGTCTAAATCCGTTTATTGTAAAACCTGTCTCGCAGTTCTTGACCTATTTTTCTCACAGTACTATTATCCACGAGGGGACTTTCTACTCACTTACGCCCTGTTTAAACATGGCTTGGCCAACAGATTTTTTTACTGTTTAGCCTGCTGGCACGTGGACGAATATCGTAGAAAGACTTTCAAGTCCAGATCGCACACCTTTATTAGGCTATGGTTTTTCACGCTTCTTGTGGTTGCTGCGTGAAATAACCTTCCTCCGACGGTTGTGCACACCCCATCTAGTACCTGGCTCAAAGCACTTTTAGGCGCCTTTCAGTTGGGGTCGCGCTCTGCCAAGATTACTGCCCCGAGCACCACAGCCTAAAAGGGGTCTGCTGCTTGAATCAGTCGTATCTTTTACCAGCTATCCGCTTACACAACATTTCGTCATGGACCCGCTGAATCATTGTACTCTCGTTGTGCTACCAAAGTACCGTTGATCAAACACTTGAAGATGTCTAATTTCCTCGGATGAGGGAGCAGGTCCCACATCCGTAGGACTAGATCGCTAATTCCTTTATCTTGGTTACACGGCCCTTGAACTTCAGCGACATTCACTTCTGATGCCACGGACGTCTCAACCTGGTGTACACTACCCGCAACCTGATTATCCGTTCACCAGAATTATTCGTTCACGACAATGACATTAGAGGTGATGCTGCTGCCAAATTGCATGAACTGGTTGGCATACTCAAGTTCTTCATTTTGATCTTTCGCAGAAGCCAAAGCACAAGGCCACCACTGGCATTCCAGTTAAAGTATTCAAGTGGACAAGTAGTCGGCTAATGAAGATCTCTACAAAACAAGTCTTTCAACAAAACGGAATACTTTATTTTAATGTCTAAATTTATGCGCCATGAGAATATGCACTCTAGATAGTGCCAATGACTAAATTGGAATCAAGGACAGATTAGTTCACCTTCACAAACCCTACTAGTTGTCAAGACGTGTCAAACATCCTAATTGGGCGGGGGATTTTGAAATAAAGGTTGCAAGAAATGCTTACGAGCCATGAATATCGAACGGGATTTATCCATAAGAAAGTTGAGGTCTAACTTATGATCGAGGAATGCCGTGACTACCATTCGTGGCTGCTCTTGCGCTTGATTTAGTTTAGAGACTTCATCGGTGCAATTCCCTCCAGGTTGGGATCTCACTCGGAGAGATTACCCTGGCATCTCACGCCTTATTTTGACAGTCGAAAGACCTTTACCCCTGTAGTTGAAAACCTATGGTTTAGGTGCCTCCTACAAACAAGGAAAAATATTTATCGACATTAGTTCACTGGAGCACGTACTCGTTCCTAAATGAGCATAAAAGTTCCAGTCAGTGTGGCACTCGAAATTTTCAACCATCCATGGACGACTTGGGGGGTAGCTAATCGAGTCCGGTAGCACGATGGCGGTCGGACATTACCATGCCATAAAGTGAGCGAGAGAGAGACTCTCAGGCCACTGACGTCTAATGAAAGAAATAAATGCACTGTCATAGCGTCATTTGGTACGCTACTGAAAGTATATCATCATGCGATACGCTGGTCTTTATTATATGCAAGAGTTCCAATATTACCTTTGATTTACTCAAAAAAGTATCTCAGGTTGTCTACTGGATATAAGCTGGATCTGATTCGTGAAGCCCTGGCGGTGGCAACTCCTGTTTCTTAAACTCCCCGGTCCTGCCACGCCTCTATCGACTCACGGGCTACGTTTGACCAGCCATCCGGTAGACCACCCAGCCGAATCGTATCAAGAAACAACGATGCAAGTTCAGCCCTGGCTGAACAATTCAAGGCAACACGAACGTCTGTGCCAACCGTTACAGAGACTTGTGAACCACCTGAAGTTCGTAGTCTCTAACGCCTGGATGGGCGGAATTCCGAAATTTCAACAACCGTGCCTTGATCCTGCGCTCCGAACTGGGAGATACAAAAGGCATCAACCGGAAGAGCATCTAAAGTAGGTGAAACAGCAACTTTGAGGTTGATCTTTCAAAGAGTTCTCACCTTAGGGGCCGCACTACAAAGAGAGCAGGGTCTAACTAGCGGGTGTGAGGCACTTCATTTGAGCGGTGGCCTGCGGCTTCTGCTCCACATGTACCTGACTAAAGTGTCAGCAGCTACGATCTACTTATATGTGGCTGTCGTTTGTGACGGCAGATGGAATTTGTAGGCAATAGTAGAAAATGACAGAAAGCGTAAGCAATTAATTGTTTCCAATTATCCGCCTTGTCCCATGTAGCAAATAAGGTGAAAAGCCCATGTCCTAACCTAACGCCAAGCGCGGCCCGAAGGCAAGTTCTATCTGTAAAGTTTATTGTTGAACAAGCTCCGAACTATTTTCATGGCGCTCAGACTGAAAGCTGGAGTCCCTGACCAAATTTTAGCCCAAAAGGCTCACTGAGACGCTGCGCCGTTAGGCTACAGACTGATTTGAAGCCCGAATTCTGAGGAACAATCAGCGCACTTGTTCAACCACACACACAGGAGGTCACCAGAGCTCTACTCGCCAACGAACTTTATTGGACAGATTGTAAGTACCACTGGACACCCCCCAGAAAAGCTAAACAAGTTAGTAAGGCGCACAAACTGTCGCACCAAAATGATCCGGTATCTTTATGGCGAATTGCAAAGCAATCGCCTATTCTCGCGGTCCGTACGAAGACACTCATGGTCTTCATATGAACTTCTGGTTATTGGTGATACCTCCACTACATAAGCCGTGCTATATGTGCATTGTACGTCCGTTTAAGATGGATCGCTAACAAAAAGACTCGAAACTCTGTGAATGTGTGGTCATCCAAGGATGCGTCTTGCTGAATTCCTAAGTTGATTTATGCCATACCAAGTGAAGCTATAATCAAATTTTAACCCGTTTTTCTAAAGGTTGTATCTTTGAGATATTCATTAGATGCGTTGTACAAGACATCACTGTTGGTTCCTCCTGTGAATCATTGACCATATGGGTTATTTCTGCTGTTCTCTTGATCATTCATGCATAGCTTGTCTTACGCCTGCTTTTCTGCAGTTTATTCTTTAGGTTCTTGCCTTTTCCGCTTACATTTTGTTTATCCTCTCGTCCTCAGCGTCTAAATTTTGTAATCCATTCCCCTTCACTTGCAACTTTTTTCAACTCTTTTTTCGAACTCTTTTCTTCGACGGAAAAGCGGGTCATCCGTTGACCGAAACCGAACCCATGGACGACAAATATGCACGCTGTCTACTGCGTTACCTGCACCCGTTGAACACCAGTATTTCTGATAGGCAGTTTCCTCAAAAGCGGCTCCAATTTTGGACTCCAAGAATTTCCCTCCACCATGGTCATGTAAAAAAGCCCGTAGAAATCCGATCTTGTTGGACTAACCTGATTCTGTTTGGCCTGCTTCCCCGTTAGGTTTTGATCAAGGGACTTTAACAGATTCGCATAAAAATGACCGGTTATTTTTATGGCAAATTGAAAAGCAATCGCCTATTCTCGCGGTCCGTACGAAGACACTCATGGTCTTCATATGAACTTCTGGTTATTGGTAATACCTCCACTACACAAGCCGTGCTATATATGCATTGCACGTCCGTTTAAGATGGGTCGCTAACAAAAAGACCCAAAACTACATCTGTGAATGTGTGGTCATCCAAGGATGCGTCTTGCTGAATTCCTAAGTTGATTTATGCCATACCAAATGAAGCTATAATCAAATTTTAACCCGTTTTTCTAAAGGTTGTATCTTTGAGATATTCATTAGATGCGTTGTACAAGACATCACTGTTGGTTCCTCCTGTGAATCATTGACCATATGGGTTATTTCTGCTGTTCTCTTGATCATTCATGCATAGCTTGTCTTACGCCTGCTTTTCTGCAGTTTATTCTTTAGGTTCTTGCCTTTTCCGCTTACATTTTGTTTATCCTCTCGTCCTCAGCGTCTAAATTTTGTAATCCATTCCCCTTCACTTGCAACTTTTTTCAACTCTTTTTTCGAACTCTTTTCTTCGACGGAAAAGCGGGTCATCCGTTGACCGAAACCGAACCCATGGACGACAAATATGCACGCTGTCTACTGCGTTACCTGCACCCGTTGAACACCAGTATTTCTGATAGGCAGTTTCCTCAAAAGCGGCTCCAATTTTGGACTCCAAGAATTTCCCTCCACCATGGTCATGTAAAAAAGCCCGTAGAAATCCGATCTTGTTGGACTAACCTGATTCTGTTTGGCCTGCTTCCCCGTTAGGTTTTGATCAAGGGACTTTAACAGATCGCTCTATATTCAGCGAGTCACCTGCGTGAATTTTTTACATTAGCTTGCCAAGGTTAACAATGCTACACACAAAAAGCAACCTGGCTTGATAAAAATACCTGAGTGATTTATTCACTGCATCGGCCTGCAAGGACATTGTGCACAAAATAAAACTCATGCAATGTTTTTCAGAAGCAGATAAAACAAATCCAAAGTCTACATGGTTTAAGCAGTAAAAACCTCGCTATGCCTGATTGCAGACTGTTTGACGTTGTCCGTTTTTCAGAAGCAGATAAAACAAATCCAAATTGTCTACATGGTTTAAGCAGTAAAAACCTGAGAGTAACCAAATTTGTCGCTATGCCTGATTGCAGACTGGTTGACGTTGTCAAATAAAAATACCTGAGTGATTTATTCACTGCATCGGCCTGCAAGGACATTGTGCACAAAATAAAACTCATGCAGTGTTTTTCGGAAGCAGATAAAACAAATCCAAATTGTCTACATGGTTTAAGCAGTAAAAACCTGAGAGTAACCAAATTTGTCGCTATGCCTGATTGCAGACTGGTTGACGTTGTCAAAACAAAGGACTAGCCACAAAACGAGCTGTTTGCCCCAACTGCTCTGACCACTGTTCCATAGCTTCTCTCCGATGACCTCAGATGCTGCAAGTTGAAAGGC